GCGCGGATGTTTTATTTATTTGAGTGCATGTAAGAGGCTAATGGACCGATAATTCATGACTAGCTTTGGGATTATAGCCATCTCACGATAGGGAGACATGAGAAAATTTTCTGGCCGTTGCATTTTGTTCGTGGTTTATGTGAATATATATATTGAGATAAATAGAGGGGGAGCAAAATAAAAAAAATAAATAAATAGGGAAAAGAGATGGTTCATTTTCGAGCCAAACCGCGATCGATCATCCTCAATGGTTTGAGCGTTGCATCGTCAATGCTGTACGTGAACCTGGCGGGAAATCAATCACCGAATACTTGATATATATATATCAGTGAGTCTTAATTAAGCAAACATAGATAGGTATATTGGGACTATACTAAATTAACTGTTAACTTTGGCAAAATGACTGACGAACTTTTCGTATATTCCGTTTTTCATATTCTCGTCTCTTCTATTTTCTCTTCTTTCGTTCTTGCATCTTTTCGTTCTTATTCCTTTGGAGCCGATTGAAATCCGACAGAAACTGTCCGAACGATTGTCTATCGACTCGGTGAAAACGAGTTGCGATAGATTTCAAAAAGTCTTTTGAGAAAAACTTTTGACATTTCAGTAATCGAAACTTTAAATGAAGTGTTCAACTTTAAGGAGAGTGCACCACATTCACAAGTCACTCTTCTTCTTTTTCTTCTTCTTCTTTTTCTTTTTTGCACTTTTTTTTCGTGTTGTCACTTTTAAAGCGTAAAAAGTGTCTTTTTAAATTATGTTCTTGCATTTGATATTAATACTTATCAAAGTTTGAAAAATATATATATTTCTATAAAGTTGATATTATGAGGAAAAGTATATGATGGTAATCTGGTTTCTTGATATAGTGAGATATTTAAAAGAAATGTGAAATAAATTTCTCAAAATGTTCCTCGTTTATTTATTTATTTTTTTTTTTGCAAAAACGGTATAACACACGATTTTTATGGTGAAATGCATTCGAGTGCATTAAAGTAAACATATTAAATTACCATATAAACCTTCTTAAAAATATAAAAATTTATGGTTTAATATATTACATTTTGGAAAAAAAGTGTTTTTATGTAACGGAAAAAGTTTACTTCTCGAAAATATTTTCTAACGTAATTTGCAATAAAAAATGAATAAATTCAATTTCTAAAATATTTAAATAATATAATAATTTATTAACTATAAATAAATGAACAAATATATTAATTAATCGTTTTAAAAAATACTCTTTTTATGAAAATCGAAATGAAAATAGTTATTAATTTTTAAAGAATATTAAATAAAAATTTCTATTGGAAATATAAACTGAAGAAATGTAATAAAAAGTTGTAGTAAAAGTAATAAAGAAGTTTTTATAACGAGTAATAAAGTTAAAATAATACAATGTTTGGAAAATTTAATTTTAAAGTATCAATAATAGGCTATGATTAAACAATTATATATATTTTCAATGGTTAACTAAATAAATTTTGAAGTTTATAGAAAATATGAATAAATCTCGTGTCTTTGAAAGTTGATTTTTTTAGAAAAAAGAAATGGTACGTACATTCTGATTAGGTATTTCATATGCAAAGCACGTTACATGAATATTCATTGATGACTTCATTTATATAAGTTAGATATGTTGGCGGCACACCAAAAGTACAATAATTGATTTAAATTTATTTCAACGTTCAACCAATGTCACAATAAGTGTCAAACTATTACATATTTGCTTTTTCATGAAACATAATTTTCACACCAATTTAATTTTATTACATTACTTTTATTATTATTTGCGAAAATTGCGTTTTCTCTCGTTTCCTATTAAAATTAATTGCAATATTTAGTTTTGTTTAAAATGTATTTGATAATTAACTAAATTAAATTATTTAGTAATTAATAGAAATTTTCAATTTTTAATAATAATTATAATTGTTTTTAATTATATTTAATAAATATTAAATTTTGATCCATAGCTATAATACGATTTGTTTAGAAAAATAAAAAAACTTCCACTTGTAACTTGTCACACAAGTTTTGGGAAAAGTTTAAAATTATTTTGTGAAGCTTGAAATATTTCTTTCAACGTTTAGCAGAATACTTTTCCAATGAAATTCATGTTTCGTGTTTTTGACACATTTCCTCGCAATTCGTCTATTTCCATCAAACTGATCAATTTTAGAAAAAAAAAAAGTTTTATAAAAAATAAATTTTATAAATTATATTAAAAACTTTCGACAATCAATGTTATTATTAAAATTTTAGTATTAAATCTGTTACCTTATTAATGAATGCTATTAAACTTGTTTAATTAATCTGTTTTTTGTTTAATTAATTAATGTTTTTAAATTTGATTAATTAGTCTTTAAATTCGATTAAGCAATCTTGTGATTAATTAATATTTTTTTAAACATCTGAATGATCAATTTTGTTCTTAATTAAATAATTAATAGTATTAATAATAATTAATTAATTAATAATAAAAATAAACTAATAATTATGATTAAAATATATTAAAACATGAATAATTAGTTGGAAATGATTGATAATAAATTTTCAGTTTTGAAATTAGTGACATTCTTTTCCTCTAATATCACTTTCGTGGGATTAGTTTCCAGTAAAGAAAAACAATGGGATGAAAAGAGTTCTTTGTTTTTGATAAATCCTAAGTTTTAGATAGAAAGAAAATAATTTTTTTTTAAAGTCTCATATAATGTCCTGGAACGATAAGACACAGGACCAAGTTTAGCTCTGACAGTTTGTTTCAAGACACTATTATAGTTTCAACTTGTACGTACCAGTTACAGGTCTCAAAACTTCATCTGCATTTATTCTTTTGTTTTCTCCTAGTACACAAACATCCTTCTCATCCTACGAGAAACGTCAAAATTTGTTCTCACTCTTATTCTTAACTTTTATTTTAGATTTCGTAAATCGACACCACACGAGAAATTTTTTGCCTTCCATTATTTTTTCTCACTTTATTATTTTCTTCATTTTTTTCTTTTTTTAAAAAAAATTCGATCATTGATGAAAATAAAGGAAAAAGGATGAAAAATTTTATAGAATCAAAAAAATGAGAGTATTTTTTCGAAGATTGACGAATGAGTAGAGTGAAAAGAAAATAAATAAAAGACGAATGTGACGAGACATGACGCGAGAAGAAAAACCCTCGTTTTTGTGTCCCTACGACGGCGGATGCCGGGAACACACGCTGCCTGGCACGCTTTGTCGCGTCACCTTTTCGCTTTTTGACCACGCGCATTCACCACCGCACCGAGAGAGCAGTAGTGGGAATGGTTGGTGGTGCCTTCAAAATGACACACTTTAGGAAAAATGAAAGACATCCCTCCTCCTCCTCTCTTTTCTCCCTATATAGCAAAATTCTCTCTCTCTCTCTCTTTAAGTTACTGCGTGTTTAGAGGGGGAGGGTGGACTTTAACCCATTTCAAGAAGGAAACAAATTTCTACAATTTTTATCCACTTGCAAAGATGCGGAGACAAAATAAGTAGGCCATATGTCTATGGTCACCAGGAATGGTGAAGATGAGGAAAGCAAAAAAAAAAGTTAATTTTTTTCCCCTCTTTTTTTCTCATCATCCCCTATACAGCATTGCGCACGTAAATATCATATGTAATTTTAACCTACCCCAAAAAAAAGTTTGTGAATTGGAAACATAAATTTCGTGTGTCCGGAATTTTTCCATATTTTTTAAATATGAAGAAGAGGATGATGAAAAAAAAGTTGCCACTGAGAAAGGTCTCATTCTTGCGTTTCATAAAATTAGTAAATTTTAACTAATTCAAATTTAGATAGAATATTAAACTTTTCGTAATATCTATAAATAATAGAAAAGCGATTCTTAAAAGAAAACTAAAATTGTATTTTTTTACTATAATTTTTTATCGCAAGTATTATTTTTCTCCTTTTTTCCCCCTAATTGTCATTAACTCGTATCTTTATCTTCTTATTCACGTTTCAGAATGTTGACTCTTTTCGTTTGCTTTGTACTTCTTTTTTTAAAAGAAATATATTCCGCAGATATTTTTGTCCATTTTTCCGCGAGATGCATTTCCTTATGAAATGTATTCATAAAGCAGTGGAAAACTCAAAGGCGCGAAATCCAAAGTGAGAGAAAGAGAGAGCTCAAATAAAATCTTTTTCTCGGGAGACACAGGTGATACGGAAGAAGCAGATATCCTCATACATGAGTTCTGCTTTTCTTTTTTTTTCTTCTTTTTTATTTTTCACATTTTTTCACTTAAATATATAACACTTTTTACCGCTTTGTTTATCTTTGTGTTTAGTGTCAGCTTGAATATTGTCTTCCTCTTCTTCTACTTTCATTTTTCTTCGACAATTTTTCTTGTAATTTTTCTTTTTCACCGAGTAAAATAGCAATTGATTTTTTTCTTCATTCATATAAAAAAACTGATTCCGGTTTTTTTTTTACTATATATCTTGTTTGAGTCGTGATTCTTCTTTTTTTTTATAAAATCCTTTTTCAAACAGAAAAGAAAATATCGGAGTGTTGAAAATAGGGAAAAATATTGTAAATATAGATAGAAATATATGGTAAATTCAGGAAATATGGAATGATTTTTAAATGTAATAAAAAAATTATTGTAATATTATAAAAAAATATACTAAAAAATAGTTGCAAAATATGAAAAATATTTGAAAAGATTAAAACACTATTAAAATATTGCTAATGGATTTAAAAAAAATTAATAAAAAAGCCTACAAAGTGCTTTTTCTACTGGAAACATTTGTTGAATCGTTCTTTTTTTCAATCATACGATCCATCATATTGACGTCTACTAACAATCAATCTCTAGTTCTCTAAAAAATCAATTCTCTAGTTCTCTAATAAAATTTTGTAAATTTACAAAAATTTATCTAAATTTTTTATAACGTTGTCAAAATAAATTTATAATGACAGATGTATTTATAAATAAGTGAATTTTTTAATAAAACTTTTTTGGGAAACGTACATAATGCTTACCGAAGTGTTTTCTGGTCCATATCAAGACTATGAAATCTCACGCTAGGTGGTGAAAAACGTGCGTGATTCTTTTCCGTAGATCCTTTACCGTGTTTTAATCGGCTGTCAGAAGACGTTGTCAATAATGGCCGATGTAGCAAGGCCGGACTATCAGCTGCTGATGACGTCTCTGACGTCATTATCAAGGCCGTCGAATGACGAAATCTTTATTTAAAGAAAACAAAAATCCGCGCTGTACGAATAATTTTCAATTCTCAATATATATAATTCATGATAAATAATCTTTTTTCAATTTTAAGTTATCGAAAAAAATTTTTTTTTTTTTGAAACTTACGTCTTGTTTGTCAGCTAGCCGACCTGTTCCAATTCCGATTGAACATGTCGCAGGTGGGATCAGGACAGTTTTCCAAAAATATACATCTGAAAACAAAATTTGATATTTTAATATTTGTTTTTTTAATTGTATATTTCTGCGAGAAAAGAATGTTAATTTTTTTTTATTTATTATTTGAATTGTAAAATAATTTTTTCACGTAACAGTTTCGTAAACAAAATTATTTAACGAATAAGAACTTAAATCATGTAATTAATATTAGATTATATAAAAGCTATTTATTCGGATTCGATTGGTTATAATTATATTTATCGTTGGAACCCAATTATTTCTAATTGTTGGGTAACTCAAAATTTACATAATTACAATTCGATTACAATTTCTCAATTAACTCATCAGAGTAATTTCTATCACAAATTATGATGATCGTGGGTTTTTGTTTTATTATTTATATCTAATAAATAGGATAATAAAGCGATGCCAGATTCAGTTAATGTAATCCTTATTAGTTACAATGGTAATTGCAAATTTTGGTACTCGGAGAATACGGTAGCAAATAATTATTATTTAAGTCAATTAAATCGTATTTGTTTCAAATACAGTTAATTTAATTTAAATAAATATTTATTTGATAATAATTAAGTAATCGATTATTTGAATAAAATAAATTTTTTTCAGTGAAATAAGAATCAATGATACATTTTTTTCTTCAAAATGTAAATGTTGATTTGAGTCATCGTTTTTGGAGCGTACTTTTTCTATGATTTGAGCTGATTTAGTCCTTGTGTTTCAAGTGTCATTTGACATTATTGTTCATTGTCTTCTTGAAAAATTAAAGACGAAATACAAAAGTTGGGATCAGTGAAATAGTAATAATGCGTATTGCACGGTTCGTTAACTACCAGCGATACATAACTAGCAACAAGTTCTGGCAAAAAAATCAAATGAACATGTGCCAAATTTTTTCGATGTCGTCACAGGAATAATAAAACGAATCTGTACCTGCAGAAATTGTCTCTGACCTTAATTTATAAGACGTTCAATCATAATTTCTTTACTTTTTTTTTTAGTTATTACGAGGAATTTTTTATTTTTCAATTATTTTTATTTTGTGTGCAGGTATAATAAAGAAAAAGCTGTAATGCTGCAATTTGTCTACTTCATTCGTAATAGAGATAAAGAACACGTCGTATATCTTATACTTTCAGGTAGAAAAGAATGTTATTAAGAAGCATTAGGCATCTGTCTTTTTTGTTGAGGTGAGGAAAAATTTTTAGACTCGGTGAAAATGATGAGGCGTTTTATATACACACATTTTTATGCATATATATATGTATAATGCAAGAACAGGAGATCATTGTGGTCTAGTGTCGTTCGTCATCCTGTCTTTTCTTGAGGTCACAAAAAACGATAACCTCATAAATGTATTCCAAGCGAAAGAAAAGGAAGGGTGAAACATTGCCCTTGGTCACTGCATTCATTTTCGGAACATTCCTCTACTCATCAAAAATGCTTTTCTTTCTTCTTCAATGGCCCGTGTGTGGCCTCAAATCCATTTGTAAAATTGCACAAAAGCGCCACGTTTATAAATTGGAATAATTTTTTCGAATTATTTCATTTCAAATTTAATGTCACAATTAATGATCATATGAATTTTTGTTACAAAAACAATTGTAGTAAAAATTATTGTCTTTTCGACAAATAATTTCACTTATAATTTAATTTACGATCGTTAATTTTATTATAAAAAAGCGCTGGTATTTGAAATTGTAAAGTTTCGAAATTGACAAAGTCAGAGTTCTGTTATATCGACCTTCTCGGTCATGTTTGATTTCTCATGATCTGTGGAGTTTTCATCTCGTCCATTATCTTCTATTTGCTTAACTCCCCTGTTGCCTTAAGCCGACTGTCGATAAAGTAGCTTTATGATTTCTTTTTTGTCAAGAAATTCTAATATACCAACCATTATAACCAGAAACTATTAAATAGAAAACTGCTTCTTTTATTTCAAATTTTAAAGGCCATTAAATTTAAATGTTATTTTATTATACAAATTTTATTCTTCCGGTATGTGTAATTTTTTAATATTCGTAATATTTAGATATTTTATTGAAATACTATTCAAACAAATATTTTTGTTAAAAAAATGTCTTTTAAAATTTTGAAAAATATATTAATATTTTAATAATTTATTAATTATATTAGTATATTAATATATAACATGATTAATTTATTAATTATTATGCTTGTTTTTGTGTCAATGATGCGGAAAAAAATGCTTATCAACCGCAGTACATTTTATTATTCGGATATAACAGGAAAAGCGATGATCAATATGAATTGGGAGTATTTTACGATTTGTCCCGAATGAGCGTTAGGAAAATACAAAGTACGATAATGTTCCAATTTCCACGTTGAAATTATTCGAACGTCCTTTTGTTTTAACGATTTATGACCGGTGATCATAATTAAAAGTGCTCACAATCTCATGAAGCGCGATATTTTCTGATGACAGAACAGTGGAAAAGAGGTTTTTTAACGATTAGTCTGCAAGCGCACTCGCATGTGATAGTCCGAAAAAAAAACCTCTTAAAATTTAACAACCACTCCCGTTGATCCTTGGCGCTCCTATTCCGATACGATCCCTTTTCATGTTCACTATTTTTTTTCCTGAAATTTATATTTTATTTTAACCTGCGTAAATCTATTTTTTGCGTTTTCTTTTTCATTTGAAAAAAAAATTAAAAAAAAGAGAATGATAATATTAGGAAATTTAGAACAAACGTATTTTGGTCAAAGAAAAAAAAATGGAATTAATATTCAAAGATAACGGAAATAAATGAAAATACGTTTACTCTGAATAAAAAAGTGATAAATCTTTACATTTTTTGTGTTTAAAATTAAATTCTGGATTGCAGAATCAGAAAATGCAATTTTATCATTGCAAGAATCTTTCATAAAATTTAAATTACCCCTATCTGCTCATACCATTTTTTTTTAATCTTGAGCTATATTTCAAATCTTCTAACCAAGTTGAGGATCTTCTCTACACTTAGGAATGTTGTAAAGTGGGTGGGACTCTATAAAATACAGAAATTACACAAATGTCTACGAAATTAAAAAAGAGGAACTTCTTTACTATGATTAATTTTAATTATATTTTTAAATTTAAATAGATTTTAATTTAAAAGGTTTTAAATTTATTCCATGTAAAATAAAACTTTTTTTTCACTTAAATGTTGATAATTTTGTGGAATAAAAAATGAAAAAAAAGTAAAAAGCATTTTGAAATCCACAAATTGCTTATCTTACTTGTAGACATACAACATGCATGCAATAACACTCAAGTACACTGCACCTCAAATAACACGTAAAAGTTGGAGAACTGTTTACGTTGCACATTGACTATGTACAAGGGACTATAATCTCTAGAGATCACTTTGCGCATATTTTTATTTTTGTTTGTTTGTTTTTTTTTTTGTTTTAGTTCCCGCAAACAAGAATAAGCATAATAATATTGTACAAATGATTACGAAGCACCAAAATGCTAATAAATTGCTCTTTCCATTTTGTTCGCAATTTCGCGTCTACTATTATTTGCTCTCGAGTTAAATAATGATACTCGCGGCTGATCAAAAACAACCGTTACTACTTAAAATTAGAACCTCTGACCATAGTTTAAAAATAGTCTAAAATTTGCTTTGTAGAAAATAGGAATGTCTAAATGATTTTTGATTTTATTTTTAAACTTTTCTTTTTTTACAATATGAGGTAATTATTTTATACTTACAATTAGAAACAATGGTAGTACCAGTTAATTGCAACATTGTTACAGTTACAATAAATAAGAAACTCGATTCATTGCAGATCGATAAAATGTTATTTTAAATCCAGATTATCGAGTGTATTTTATATAAAGCAGCTAACAGGTTTTTTTTCCTCTAGTCGCTCAATATATTCCTTTCGTTTGCTGGTGAATTTTTTTCCATCTCTTTTTTTTTGAATTTAGAATAAACAAACACGACCTATATTTGGGGCAAGTTTTTTCCACGATGCAAAGCGTCTTTATAGACGCGGTACCCAGAGGTTGTTTGACCTGTCGGGTCACGTTGGATATCCCACAAGTTGAACTAGCATTATAGTACCAAGTACTATACTATATAGTAGAGAGTATAGAATCATCATCAGGCGTAGTGCCTTGACATTTTCTCCATTTTCTCGCGCCACTGCTGCTGTGGCGGGCGCGGAGTGAGAGAAAGAGATAATTGCGCAAACGTCTTGTCCTTTTTGGTGGATAACGAAGCGAGTAATCACGCAACCCTTGGGGAAAGCGGGGCCATCACTTTAATTGGAAAACACTAACACTACCAATTACTCGACGCCGACAAGCTAAACTGATACGCAACGTTACGCCTGTCTGATCAATTCGAGCTTGGCGGATTAACTCTCTCTCTCTAATCCATTTCAATAAATTCCACGTTCAATTTCACTGTCATTTCTGTGAAAATCACGCTTCATTTTCCATTTTTCGCTAATTAAGTAAAAACCCATTGTTTTTTTTACATTTTACCACTGGATATTTATTAATATACTTATAAGTACTCTCTATAAATTTCAATTAGTGAAAATTTTAATTAATTCAAATTAGTGACTTATTTTTTGCTTTAAAAGTTAGCAAATTAAATTGCTTTACTAATTTGGTAGAAAAATAAATTTTTCTATCTTACCGACTTTAAAAATAAATATATAAAAAATTACTGACGCAGAAATCTATCTTACCGACTGATGGTAAAACAGTTTTTTTTTGAAAAGCGAATATAAAAAATTACCGACCTAGAAATCTACCTTATTGACTGATGGTAATTTTTCATATTCTTATTTCTAAAAAAAAAACTTTTTTATCATCAGTCGGTAAGGTAGATTTCTATGTCGGTAATTTTTTATATTCTCATTTTTAAAAAAATTTACCATCAATCGGTATACGTCGGTGACTTTTGACTGTAATTCGATAGTAAATATTTTTTTATTATTTTTAGTTAAATTTTTCTACGTTTGCGTTAGAATATTCATTTTGAGTTTTTTATGA